AGATGGGGCCGGTGGTTGTAGCTGGGGCTGGTGGCAGTAGATGGGGCTGGTGGCTGTAGATGAAGCCGGTGGTTGTAGATGAATTTGGTGGTTGTAGATGGGGCTGGTGGCTGTAGATGGGGCCGGTGGTTGTAGCTGGGGCTGGTGGCAGTAGATGGGGCCGGTGGTTGTAGCTGGGGCTGGTGGCAGTAGATGGGGCCGGTGGTTGTAGCTGGGGCTGGTGGCTGTAGATGAAGCTGGTGGTTGTAGATGAATTTGGTGGTTGTAGATGGGGCTGGTGGTTGTAGATGGAGCCGGTGGTTGTAGGTTGTAGATGGAGCCGGTGGCTGTAGTTGAAGTTGGTGGTTGTAGATGAATTTGGTGGTTGCAGATGAGGTCGTTGGTTGTAGATGAAGTTGCTGATTGTAGATGTAGCCGGTGGTTGTAGATGGAGCCGGTGGCTGTAGTTGAAGTTTGTGGTTGTAGATGAATTTGGTGGTTGCAGATGAGGTCGTTGGTTGTAGGTTGTAGATGAGGCCGGTGGTTGTAGATGAAGTTGCTGATTGTAGATGTAGCCGGTGGTTGTAGATGTTTATCTTCAGAATGATGTTATCCCTCATTTTGTCTTTTTAGGAAACCAAGTCCAACAACATAGTTGTAGTTTGGATTGAGGAGCAGAAGCTCAGCTCTGAGTCACTGACTAGTTTTTGTGGATTTAAATTAAAAATGGATTTTTTAAGCAGGTTAAATGTGGTTCATGTTTCTCCTGAGGAGGGATAATGGCCCACGGTGCATTCACTGTCCTCCGTCATTGTCAGGTGTCAGCAGAAGTCCTTCCCCCGGACTCTACCTTCTGCCAGCGTTGTGATCTGTTTCTTCAACGAGGCGTTCTCCGCCCTGCTCAGAACAATCCACAGCGTTCTGGACCGAAGCCCGGCCTACCTGCTGCACGAGATCATCCTGGTGGACGACCACAGCGAGCTCGGTAACACGCCTAAGAGCTGCCGCCTGATGGTTCAACACCTGCAGCTCACCTGTGTTTCTGTGTGATGCTGCAGAGGAGCTGAAGGACGACCTGGACAGGTACGTGAGGGCGGAGCTGCAGCCTAAGGTCCACCTGGTGCGGAACCAGAGGAGGGAAGGACTCATCAGAGGACGTATGATAGGAGCCTCCCACGCCACAGGTACCTCCTGCCCCCACCCACCCCCACCTGTGCCGTTCTGCCACCTACCTGTGTTTGTATCCAGGTGAAGTCCTGGTCTTCCTGGACAGCCACTGTGAGGTGAACCAGGCGTGGCTGCAGCCCCTGCTGGCTCCGATCCAGAGGGACCAGCGCACCGTGGTCTGCCCCGTCATCGACATCATCTCCGCCGACACCCTCACCTACTCTCCCTCCCCCATCGTCAGGGGGGGCTTCAATTGGGGGCTCCACTTCAAATGGGACCCGGTCCCCCCGTCAGAACTCAGCGGGCCTGAGGGGACCTCTGGACCCATCAGGTACCACATAAACAGTTCTGGAACCAAGTGCTTCTTCCTAGTCCATCTACAAAGAAATCAAGTCCTGTTAACTCCTCCCACTTCTGCCCTGGTGTCTCCGCCCCCTCAGGTCTCCCACCATGGCCGGCGGTCTGTTTGCGATGAACAGGAAGTATTTTAACGAACTCGGACAATACGACGCTGGAATGGACATCTGGGGCGGAGAGAACCTGGAGATCTCCTTCAGGGTGAGGCTGTGTTTTACAGACTGCCAGTGAAGGTGTCTTCAGACGGAGACGGTTTTTACAGACTGCCAGTGAAGGTGTCGTCAGACTGAGACTGTTTTTACAGACTGCCAGTGAAGGTGTCGTCAGACTGAGACTGTTTTTTACAGACTGTCAGTGAATGTGTTGTCACACTGAGACTGCTTTTTACAGACTG